CTCCTTTAGCTTTGATTAGTGCTTACGGGCACTCTGTAGGCCAGCCTTCTACCTAGTGCACTCAGCTTTCCTCATCCCACTGGTAGGAAGCCTGTCACTCTGCCTCCTGGTCTTAGCATTGCTCCCCAGCAACCTCTTCTTGCAGGGATCTTGAACCAGGTTCACTGCTGGCTCATCTCTTCTGGTGATTGTGAAATTATTTCTTCCTACTTCTGAGATGACTTGCAGAATGATAAAACTGATCATCTCTGAGTTAGAGTCCTCTACATTTTATTTACATGCTCCCACCCAGTCATTTTGGTAAGAGTTAAAAAGACTGTTGCTAGAAGAGCAGCACTAAATCCTTTCACCTCACTCTAGGTCTGTTTCTGGGTCCTTCAGTCTGTACTGTTGATCAGTTTGTCCATGTATGCTCTAATGCCTTCTGTCTTTAGAATTCTTAGAGAAGCAGTGGAATGTGTACATGTGTATGTATAATCACACACACAGAGAGATAAAAAGATAATTACTTCACAGCATTGGCTCTGGTGCTTTAATGAGTGTGGTACAGTCTTTGCAGTTCCTGTTAAACGGCTGGGTAGGACTGTCCAAGTGTGAGGTGGCTGTGATTTGCTACTTATATATATAAGTACACGGCACCCATGAGGGATGAGACCATGCAAATAGAGTCTATTGAACTACAACAATGGAATTAGTATTGTCATCCCACTACCAGCAGGAAGGAAAAGCCAGAAGCAGAGCATGTCCTTTGGACATTGTTGAACGCTCTCAGTCCAGGAGCCAGAGCGCTGTGGCATCAAAGGAGCAGCAGAGTGGCAGCAGCAGGATGAATCTGAGGAGCATCGCAGCCTTCTTAGCCACAGGACGAGTGAGACAGCAGTATCTCTGGGCAAGAGACTTCCTTGCTCGTGGAACGAGGTGCCTCCTGGGCATTTGTCTCAGAAGCTAGGGTTGCTGACTCAAGCTAGAACCGAGCATCTTCTTCATGATACTTCTGATAAGGCAGAGTGCCTTTTAGGAACGTATTGGCACCACCAAAAGAACTTTGTAACAGTGCCCAAATAGGGTAGAAGCCAAGGTGCTAGAGACTGAGGACCAGAGAGAGGTGTGTGCCTGTATGCATGGCCAAGAAGAGGTGCTCCTCTGACCTGATTTGTAACCTGTAGACTTCTCAAATAAATGCCACGATCATGAGTGTATTCTGTAAATGTGGTGTGGCCCTTACAACCCAGTGGCAAAGTAGCGAGAGCTGTGAGAGGGGCAGTGGGTCAGCACTGGTAAAGAAGGTTGGAGCCTCTGACTTCCGCCTCCTAGAAATAACCTGGGACTGCTGTTGCGTTTGATGCTTATGTTCTGTTGTGAAGTCTCAAGTCAGATGCTGCCCTTAGGCCAGTTTTTCAGAATACAACTCCCAAATCTGATGATTCGGGACAGCCTGGCAACTTTGCCGTCTTGTATCCTAAGATCCGTATGTCAGATAACAGAAAGAGTATAGATTGAAGACATTGAGTGAGTTCTGACAATTATCTATTGCCTGGAAGCAAAACACACTCTAAAGGGTGGGCGCCTTTTTTCTATGAAGGATCATTTGGATGTTTATAGCATCATTCATGGGTCTTGCTCGTCGACTATTTAATTAACTCACCCCTGATGTGATGGCTGGAACTACTTCTCTTTGGTGAAGCTTGTGATATTAACTGGTATCGGTGATTTTTATAAGCCTTATGTGGCAGTTCGGATGCTCCCCACCCCTACCCTAAGGGAACTGTCTTTAGCAGATTAATTGACTGACTGTATTATATTAGATTATATTATGAAATAGTCACTAGTCAAGGGCTTGGCCATTGGGAGCCATAACCTAGGCAAGTTGACACACTAAATTAGCCTTCCTACTGTCTTACTTAATGGCTTCTGGAAGTCCCTCCTTTGCGTTTCTTTTTTTTTTTTTCCCTTTGCGTTTCTTTAAGAATGTCTTAGCTCTTCTTAACTCTGTGAAGGTCTGTATACATTTTAGCATTTCATACATTTAGTTTGGTAAATTACACACAGCTGGAAGGATTTTGATTAGGACTGCATTGAATTTATAGAAAACTTAGAAAGAGTTAGCATATATAAAATATCAGGTCTCCAGTCTATAATCCTGATATATTTCAGCATTTACTTAAGTCTTGCTAGATTTCTGCCAATAGTGTTTATTGTTCTGAGTAGTCAATTTGCACCTCTTTTGTTACATGTAGTCTTAGATGTAATTGCAAGTGTAGAAATTGCTTTATGTTTTCATTTTTCTGGTTAAACAACTGGATTTCTGTAAGGCATTCTTGTGTGTTTTTGAAGAAACTTAGTAATCTTGCTTTAACTATATACTTATCTATAACAGATTTAGTTGATTAAGGCTGTATTAAATATAATTAAGTGGCTTTTCCAGTTAAAACTTTTGGAATTGGGCCCAGATGAAGTGTGGTGTTAAAAATGTTGAATAATATCCAGATGAAGTTATTTGGAAAGCCTCCTTCATGGGGGCACTGGGTAAACAATTTGGCAAGAATCGTTAGATGAACAATAACTAATTTCCACTCTAATTGCTGAAAACCCAACACAAGAACTATAAGAAGAGAAAGTTCTATATGCCACTCTTTGGGAGAAGGCAACAAGAGGCTTGTGCATTAGAAAACAGTGTTAATTGCTTTTCTAGGAAAATGGTTATAAGTGTATAATTTTTTTTCTTAAGATTAGAAAACATTGGAAAGCCTTGTGTTTTGTGTAGACCTAGGAGAATAAAACAACTGAGTATCACATGTACACTAATATTTTTGGAGAGGAAATACTAATATATATTGGCACACATACACATATTATTTAGATTTCTTGGACCTCTGTATTGCAAAGTATGATCTGTGTGAATTAGGTGATTAAAAGTACACCCATTCATCTTACTCATTCACATGGGTAGGTTCCAAAGACCAGGTCGCTGGACAGAAATTGGCAGAACATGAAAATGGAGGATGATGGACCATGGCCACATCAGGTCCCAGAATGTTGTTCTTGTCAAATTCCATAATCCCATAATGTCAAACTGCTGAGAAGCATGACAGAGCCATCCCAGCCAGAATTATTCATTGCTCACACCATAACATCCCTAGCACCAGCCATATCCAAAATAGTCCTAGACTTTTTACTGCTGTCTACGTGTGAAGTGTCACATAGTGAGATAGTACGTAAGGAGTAGGTGCATAGACGTTTACAAAATGAGGTACTACAAATATATGCGGTGTGAGTTTAAAGGATGACGACCAAAGAGGCTCCCTTTGTCAACTTTTTTTTTCCTTTAAAAAAGATATTTTTGGGTGGGAAAATACATGTTCCAATATACTCACCAATTCAACATTTTCTCCAGGTATAGATCAATAGCATCAGTTAAATTCTTAATGTTGTGAAACCATAACATAAACTCAGTGGAAAATCATCCCCTTCCTTCCTCTGTCCCGCTCCTCATAACTACTAATCACCTTGGGATTCTGTTTGTGTGCGTATTTCATACCAGTGAGATTGGACAGTGTTTCCCTTCTAAGACTGATTTATTTTGCTTAGCATCATGTTTTCAAGGTTTATCTATGCCCTTTGGAGGAATGTTTATTTAGGTCGTGGCCTCTATTTGTTGTTGGCCTTTTTATTACTGAGCTGTGAGAGTTCTTTATGTGATGAGGATCCAAAAAGTTTGTGGGAAAAAATGGAACTAAAAGATAAAGGAATTTTTTTCATGAAATTTGAAAGCCACCTCAGATATACAAGTCCCTTTTGAGATACAATCGATCTTCATAATTCACAGTTCCATGTGTGGATTTCACTTGCTCACTAGAATGTATATTTGTAACCCCAGAACCAGTGCCTTTGGCCCTGCGTAGCGATGCTATGAGGGCAAATACATATTAGAAGGAAGAAAGAAAGAGGCTTAATTTTTCCTGGTACGGTGGTGGGTACACTTCCCTCCTTTTCCTTAAACTTGTAACTTCTTTCTCTGTCTCTTTGAAATGATGTAAATCGTGTCAAAGGCTGTCTAACCCTCTTGCTAATTACACAGCCTAGGAATGTTTCCTCAAGGACCTGGGAAGCCCTTTTCCTGAAATGCAATCCATCTAGGAAGATAGCATCCCACCTCCCAGATTCCCGGGAGGCCAGGAGTGTAACTGCAGCTGGCAGACTTACCACGAGTCATAAAGATAGGAGAGATTTATTGATTTTCGTTAGAGAAAGGCAGTTAGCACACACAGGTAGCTATTTTACTTATCAGATGGTTCAGGGGTGGAATTCTTGCCTGCCTTGTCCTGGCTAATGTATCACATATGCAGTCCCGGTGGCTGTTCTTGGAGACTTGTGTATGGCTGGGATGCAGGTTTCTGAAGAGCAGGTTCCAGACTAAGCTAGATAAAAAGAACTTGCGATCTGCTTTGGAAAATCCGCTGGTGAAAGCCCCCTGGAGCACAATGGTCCAGTCCCACTGTCTGTGCAGTCCGCAAAAATTCCAGGCCGAGTGACTATGGTGCTGCATGTTCTGCTGTCAGGCTACTTCTTACTCTTGAGCACACACATGTGGGAAAGGGGTCACACCTGCTTGGCTGTACAAAAAGGGTAAAGGTCGGTCTTTGTAATCTTTTTAGCAGACTGCACGTTCTGGCATAATAAAACCATTTTCTTTCTATTTCACTTTTGTCAGGGGTAGTACGGGATTTTTTCTTTAAGTATGCCTCCTTGTCGATGCAAAAAGGAAAGTGAAAAATCTGAAATATTAAAATTGCTATACTAATTCTTGTATTCTCTAATAAGAGGAAAACATCAATATATAATGTGATATAATAACACGATAGTATGTTCTGATTTAATGTTAATATAGAGTTAAAGCCTCTCTTTGTTCCATTGGTTGCTTTTTAAGTTTGTCTAGTTCCTAAGTAATAAGTGCTTTATCTGGTTGTGTTTTACAATTGGGCCTATTTTTCATTTGACAGGTGGCAATTTGTACCATGCCGACGTCTCAGTTTTTGGAGAACCAACCGAGTTTGAGTATTTGCGAAAAGTGCTTTTTGAATATATGATGGGTCGTGAGACTAAGGTATAAAAATCATGTCTGGTGATTTGGCATGGGGCTTCATTTGATAGGGAATATGTCCTACTATTAATATATCAATTGATACCAAATATTTATTAGCTGGCCATCCATTTTAATTGTAATAGGCAATAGGTAATAATTATGTTATTGCTCTTATTTGCTCCACAGATGTGAGTTGACAGATTTTACTTATATTTGTTACATTTATAAAATACTGTTGTAAAAACATGTTGTTTCACACCTCCCCCCCCCAAAAAAAAATGTTTCATGATGCTAAATCCTGAAAATTTAAATTTCATTGTCTCAAGAATAGTTTGGGGGAGCATGTGGTTATTTCTTTGCTTCAGATCTTGATGTTTAGGAGAAGAGATTCCCTTTACAAGGAGACTATAGTGTATTCAAGATGGTCATAGTTAAGAATGACTACATAGGAAGATTTAGAAATACTGTAATCACTTAAAAAAACCATCTCTTTGCATATAGAGAGTAATCATTTTAAAATTACCATACCATGTAAGTAATATTGTGTGACTAATTTCTTTTGTAGAATGTTACATTTCATATAAGGTCCTTGAATGTAGGGCCTTCCTGACTTATTTGTATCCTTTATAGTATTTTAAACTCAGAACCTTATCTATATTAGATATTTGGTAATTGAATTGAATGTTTTGAATTTAATTGAATACATTTAGGTAAATTGTTGAACCATTCCTTAGGCCAAAAATTTCATTTAAAACAATTTATGGTTTTGACATTGTTTCAAGTTTTTTCCTTCATGGTATTTTACTTTGGCTGGGAAGGGGATAATTAATGAGTTTTGTATTCTTGGAAGCAATTCGTGATTTAAAATTATGTATATAAATATTACTGCTTCCTAGGATAGTTAACCAGTTCTCACATCCATTTGGCAAACATATCTAAAGCTTAAAAAGAAAACATCTTTATTTATTTATTTATTTATTTTTAAACATTTTATTAGGGGCTCATACAACTGTTATCCCAATCCATACACACATCAATTGTGTAAAGCGCACTTGTACATCATTCTCAAAACATTTTATCTCCACTTAAACTCCCGACATTAGGTCATTTTTCCCCTCCCTCCCCGCTCCCCCCTCCCTCATGAGCCCTTGATAGTTTATAAATTGGTATTTTGTCATATCTTTCCCTGTCCGACGTCTCCCTGTATAGGGTTGAGTCCCCCTGAAGAGACATCCAGCCCAAATGTAAGGCGTGTTTGGGGCTGTGCCACTTCGGATCTCAGCGTGTCCTTTTAGAGCTCTCCGGCTCTGTTTGGATGTGTTTTTTGCCTCCGAGTGCAGCCAGCTCCACTTAATGCCTGACTGGCGCTCGTGTAGAGGAGGAGTTCTTTCCTCTCGTGTTTATTGTCGGCAATCACAATCTTTCTCTGGTGACTAATGACGGCAGTTGTTGTTAGTGCCATGAGTCCGTTCCGACCCATGTTGACCCTACGGGCATCAGAAGGAAACACTGCCTGGTCCTTCCTCGCCTTCCTCACAGTTTTTCCGAGCCATTGTTGCAGCCAGTGTGTCAGTCCATCTTGTTTTGCTCCTCCACTATGCCAAGCACGACGACCTTCTCCAGGGACTGGTCTCCTGACCGCATGTCCAAAGGACGTAAGACAAAATAAAGCGTCGTCTGTCATTTTGCCAGCACATTTTACAAGTAATACTGAAAATTGTCGTCAGTATTCCGTTTGCTTTACTGCATATTTAGGAAGCACTTCCTCCATGGGGCTCTTTGTTGAGCACGATGATTGATAGATAGAAAGATGAAACTTGACACTATCCCTAACATCAAGGAATTTGCCGTGTAGTAGGAGCTGTCCTCAGTGAACCCTAGTGTGATGCAGAATCTCGGAAGAGAGGTACAGAGTCCTCACACTTATTTGTGGGAGGGTAAAAAGCGTACCTTATGGAGAGGTGGTGTATGCCCCGGGCTTTAAACAACAGGTTCTATTTTGAAACATGAGGTTGGTGAGAAGCCTTACCCAGGCAGAAAGTTTAAAGCAGGGCATTGAGTGTGGGTTTTCGGAATGATTTGTCATATGGTTTAAATAAACATCTGGTCCGTGACGTGGGCGTGATGCCCAATAGGGCTGCACAGAATGAGGAGAACCTCAAATGCTTTCAGAGTTTACCTGTAAACATGGAGGGGGAGCCCTTGTATTTTGAGTCAGGGTTGACAAGATCAGAGCTTGTTTTTCCGACACGCCTTTTTCTTTTCTTGGTTTACCCACTTTCTATACACTATCAACGAGTTTGCACTGGAAACTACGTTGTGATTGGAATGAGCTAGAGTACGTTGTGGCCTTCATGGTTTGATCACCACCTGGACTTGTGTCTTGTCTAGCAGACTGCATGTGCACCCTGCCTGTGTTTCTCCATCTGCTTTTGTACACGGCGAACATATTGTATGAGGCAGATGACTTTTTGAAGAAGAAGAAGACCGCACATAGGACGCACATTCTTACAGTGTGGCGTTGAGTTCCCTTCCTTTCTTCAGCCCCTGCGCTTCTTTTTAATGGGGTTTGGTGGTCCGTAGTATTATTGACACAGACAGCCTGTGTTCCTCTTCAGTAAGAAGTCTTTTCTATCTTAAGCTTGACTGAAGGGGGGCCTCTTCTAAACCAGGTGACTCACTTCACCTTTTTCTACTCTCCAGGGCCTTAAGGTAGAGAAGACAGTTTGATTTCTTTTCCACGTTATAGCAAAGAGCCTGGACTTCTCTACTAAAAGGGTTTTTGAACAAGCCAGGAAAGAACTTTAAGTCTTTACTGGTAATCAGCTGCAAATTTGGACAGCCATTGAACTTAATGATGGATTTACCATTTAACATGGTCTGAACTGTTTAGAGACCACAGGATTTTGTTTTCTGTTTTCAGACATGCCTGTGTGTGCACATATATGTGATTTCGTAGTCAACATAAACATCCCTCTGGATTCTTCGAACTTTGTAAGATATTGAAATTAGAGAAATGTTCTAGTTGTGAACCCTTTAGGGTACTTCCTAAAAATAATCGGTATAGATAATGTTGTAGGAACTATTTAAAATTGTGTTAATTTTTGAAGTATATACTGTCATATTTACAATAGCTCTGATCTCTTGCCATTTCATGCCACTGTGTGCCTGGCTTTTAGACTTCTGTTAATAAAAGATTTTTTCCTATCTGGGCAATAAAATGCAAAGGATGGGGGCTTCAGAGAAATGCTTCTGGAATTCTCCAAGAGCTAAGTTGATTTAAGGGGACTTTTCCTGAGCACCAAAATAATAGGGGCAGAGATAAAAGGAAAGAGAGTGCTGAAATTTGTATGATTAAGAAGAGTGTTAGTTGATCTATTCATTCAAGTAAGTACTAGTAATATGTACAGGACCTTGCCTAGACAGCATATAATAGGGATCTTTTAAATGTTAAATGTTTTTTTCCTTCATGAAGATAATCATAGTTTTTTCCCCTAATGATAATGAGGTTCCAGTTATTTATTCTTTTATGTCGTTTTCCTTGATTACTACCCCAGCTCCTCAGGTGGTACCCCCTCTCGGTACCCTTAGTGCACACGCGTGTGCTCACACACACAGAGACACACACACGTGCCCATGAACAGAGAATGTCCACCGAGTCAGTTCAATGGGTTACCCTCCCATCGGATGTAGGAGCCCCAGGAGAGCACTGCCACCTGGTTTTCTATGTGAACAACCTTGTTGTCCTACTTATTTCATGAGCATTATCTTCTTTCCTCTTTGTCTTCCTCAAAACACCTCATCTTGATACAAAATAGGGAGTTTCAGCCTTTGAGGAGACTTTTCCACGCACTTATGGGTGACAGTCTGACTTACGGTATCTTTACTTAGATCTGCACAGTTTATGATCTTGTTTTGCAAGTTGCCATGTGTAATGTTTTGATTCATCATGTTTTCTACCAAACAAAACATCTTGTGTTTATTTAAAATGTACTTTGTATTTCTATTAGGCTGATGTTCTGCATGTCTTGACCAATTCCTACTGAGCATGTTCATGTTCATGCAGTAGCCCGTGTTTATGAGATATATGATGTGATTTAGTTGAAGAGGAACTTGGGGGTATCAAATTCTGATGCTATGGAGCATATATCTTGGCAGTGTATCACTTATTAGATAGATAATACAAAGAAAAGCCCTTATGAAATGAACCAGTAATAAAGTTTATCTTACTAAGACAAAGAGCCAAGAGCATTAGAATTGTATATAGCTTTGTGCTGTTGTAATTGCACTCTTTAAAATAATAATCAACCCAGACATTCTGAGGAGTCCTTTCAAATTGAAGAACTTGTGCTGGCTGCCATTTTCTTGACTAATACCTTCACATCATACTTCTTTGGTCGTGCTTCCATTGAGACACTAAAGAAGCCCACCAGCAGAACATGTCGGAATGGGCGAGATCTCGCATGCCCGCTTCCATGTCCATTCAGTGATTGCGTCGTGTTTCTTGTAGACCATGGCAAAAGTCATAACCACTGTTCTGAAGTTCCCTGACGACCAGACTCAGAAAATTTTAGAAAGAGAAGATGCTCGGCTAATGGTAAGCTTTAAAAGTAGATGTTATCTCATCTATTTACAATCTCCCTCACTCTACAGAGACTTGGAGTTTGGTAAAACAAACTACAGGTTTCTGGTTTTTTTAATCCTTATTGTATCATGGCTTGAAATATGAGAGAGAATCTATATTGAGAACATTTAATCAAAGGCACATGTGAATGGGTACCCATAAGGGAAAGAACAAATTCATTTAATAGCATATATGAGATTGACTCCCATATATACCATATGGGATTTCCAGAACCTTGGCTGCTTCTGCAAAGTGTAGGAAAAGACTTTCATCCCGGGGATCCAATAATACACCTTACACCAAACGATCTTGAGATCGTTGTTTTATAGCTTGCAGTTCATTATTCCATTTCAAGTGAGTTCTAAATACAGTAATTCTTGTTAAAAGGATTGAAGCATATTTGAGCTTTGACACAGCCAACAGTGGGAATGTAGACTGATGATGGAATTATTAAAAACCATTTGTGTAAAGTCAGCTATAATTGGAAAATGAAACACATAATAAATTATGCACGAATTCTCCATGCCTAACTCTTTGCCCTGCATCGGTACAAAATGATCCACTTTAGTCAGTGTGAAACCCTGTGACGTGTGTGCCCGGACCCTAGTTCTCTCTGTGGGTTAGCCTACGTGTGAGCATCGCCAGTAATAAGGAAAGGAGTAAGCCGCTAAGTAACTTTCCCCTGGAGTATTTCATTTTGCTTCTGACTGACTGTGTTGTTAAAGATGTTCAAATCTCCCTATTTGTTCTGCTTCTAACCCATTGAACTCAACCAAATACTTGGCGTCAGCTCAGATGAGGGCTTTCCCCCTTCAAATGAATTATCCCCAATATGTAACCATTTGTGAAGTTGCTGCCCTCTGACTGTTGCAGATGGTCCATCCTGAAGGGATCTGAGTGCCCCAGGCACATTCTAACCTCTTTTTTTGCTTTTACTGTTGATTCACAATATCCCTGATCTCTGTCCTGATACACTACTGGATAGTGTATTGTATACTGATTGTGTATTTTCTGAGACATGTGTATTTTCTGAGACAATTCAATTATTTTGATTAGCACTGAATCCTTTATTTTTAAAAAATCGGTGTGATAAAATGTATAAAACAAAACATTCGCCATTTTTACATGGACAATTGAGTGATATTGATTGTGTTCATTATGTTGGGCTGCTATTACTATTTTAAGCGTTTAATTTTGTTTTTTTAAAAGCACTCCCCCCTAATATCTCGCAGCCTAGGATGCATCGCTATACTACTGTATGGTTGCTTCTGGTCATATATATAATTTATATTATAATATTATTGTAAAGAACTGTGTCACTATGACATACACCCTTGATTAATTGAGATATGGGGTTTGAATTATAGCACAGATCTAATTTTAGAGGAATATAGTCACTGGGGGTAGAATTTATCGTCATCACAACTGTGTATTTGTGAAAAATAAAAATTTCCAAGGCAGTTTGAGCCTGTGCACCCTGTTCTGTTATTGTGGACCAATGTAAGAAAATAGTGTTAAATAGCAGAAGATAGCTTTTACATATGTATGTATGTATGTATGTATGTATGTATGTATGTATGCGTACACAAGTACGTTCATGCTCACTCTCCCATGGCCTCTTTGGCTTCTTGGTGTGGGAGTGTGACAACCTCTCCTTGCTGTGCTGCGGCACATTTTGCGAGGAGATGCTGTGCACTGTGGAGCGGTGCGCGGTGAGGCAGAGCCACCCAGTGGCCATGGCTTTGGGTTTTGGACTGACTCCTTGTGGAGCCCTGGGATGGCGCCTGTGAGAGAAGCATCCCCTCACACACAGGTCACCTCAGGTGGCTTTATTTGGAGGGCCGCTAATAGAACTGGTCAATGTCAATAATGAAACATGTAAGAAACCTTTAAAGGCAGACAATTTTTTTTTCAAGTTTAGCTTAAAAACATTTTTTTTCTTTTCTTTTTTTAAATGATCTTTTTTTTAAAAAACCATTTTATTAGGGGCTCATACAACTCATATCACAATCCATACATACATCAATTAAAAACATTTTTAACAAACTTTAAAAGCATAAAGCTTTCTGTTTCTGAAGAAAGTGGTTGTTTGTTCTGAGAGGTAAATGGTGGCTGACTGAGTCTTCTGGGAAGAGTTCTTTCCTGTCCTAGAGGCTGATCTGCCCAGAAGGCCTTATTCTTCCACTCTTCTTTTGAGTAGAGTCTCATTCATCTTTATTTTCTGCTTGGTGAATGAGTTCACTCATTAATCACTTACTCTTCCACATGTTATAGAGGATATAGGGAATTAAAAGACATGTTTTGTTAACTTTGTGGACCTTTAATTTATGAACTTGGGAAAAAATGACATCCATGAATAACATACATGAATTAAAGCTATTCCTAAGTAATATAATTCATATAAGAATTAGATGCTAAAATTAAAAAAAAAAAAAGAATTAGATGCTTAGGAAATAGTTTATAAAGAATACGAAGTGGGAGGTGATTCCAAGAAAGTAAATTAATGTGAGTCGAATTTTCTTAATCCGAGATTCTTGGTACAGTGACTTATGATGGTTTTTATATTTGATTAGGCTTAGTTGAATCGAGAGTCACATTTGCTTAAGATTGCTGTCATAAAATGAGCACTAAGAATCAAGCCTCTTAAAATTTCAAATTATTTCATATTCCTGAACAATGAGCTCTGTTTAAAGCTCATTAGAATAAAACACTGCTAAACAGTGACTTCTCTTTATTAGAAAGTGTGCACAATAAAATTTAGGAAAACAAAGAGATAAGCAATGATTTAACAGCTATTGTCTTATTAGCTTTAAATGTATGCTCCAAGTGGATGTTCTCTCTAATTTGTTGTCAGTGTGTAGCCACAGTTTCCTTTCTATTAAAAATTGCAGCTTTGGGTGGGTTTTTATTTGTTTGTTATTATTTTGTTTTTAATTTTACCTCTGAAATGAAAATCTGGTATAAAAGAATCTCCAGACACACTGGGGCTCTGACTCCCCCAGTCTATTGGTATTCTGGATGCAAATACTGAGAGACAGCTGGAACTGCACTTGGTACAGACAGCATGTAGCCCCCACTAGTGTGTGCATTGTTTAGCAGGTATGGCTGGAGGAATACATTCTAAAATCTTTGCTTTGTGATTCAGATGATTATACATTGACTTTGTGACATGATCAAGTTTTGTATGCCTGTTAGGTATTTTTCAATCTGTTTTCTGTTTATACCTTCCCTCCTCCAGTGAATTTATCTCCTTGTCTAAAAAATCCCATAGCTGTTATTAGAGGTATTTTCAGAGCTAAGCCTTATATCATGAGCCCCTGGATGGCTGCTCAAGGTGCCTCTCGAAGTATACCTGAGGATCTACTTCTGAAAGGTCCCAGCCTTGAAAACCCCTACAGAGAAATTCCAGTCTGTCGCATGGGGTTGCCATGAGTCCATATTGACTGGACAGCAACTAACAAAAATAACAACTTCATCCCAAGAATATATTCTTAAGTGAGACCCTGTCACTATCATGTGAAATTTATAGAGCATGAAGTCTGATTTGTTTGAAGATTCTGATGTGTAGAGAAGGTTTTAGTCCTATGCTTCTAACTGAAAGGTTGGTGGTTCGAATCCCCCAGCTCCTTTGAAGAAGGAGGTGGCATTCTGCTTCTGTTAAGATTTGCAGCCTCAGAAACCATATGGGGACAGTTCTGCTGTTTTTATAGGATTGCTAGGCATTGAAGGTAACTCAGTGGCAGTGCGCTTGATGCATGGATGCGAAATCCTGGCCCTTCATTGACATGAGCCTCTGTGCATTCACTTGTAGGATATAAATACCAGTTAACTTGTTAAGATAGTTGAGGAACCAGAGAATAATGCCTGCACTGGGGTTTTTATGATCATAGGATAGCTGGTGGTGATGAGCTTAGCCACCATAGCAAAATGTAGAACTAGTCCCTGCTGGAGAATGAACTCCTAACGAAGGTGTGTATGGTACAGCATTGCCGACCTCAGTAGGACAGGCAAGTCAGTTTAGAGGAAGAAGACGTCTGTATCTCAGCACCGTGGAGAGCCAGCCACCTGAAGCATCACTGTGGTGAGAGCCTAGATCTCACTTGCTCAGCACAACTGTGTGACTGTGGCCAGCTCTGTTCGTCTTTTTGGTCCTCGTTAGTACAGTGAGGGTGTTAGTTTGTATTGTCCCTGAGATTTATTTTCCTCTGTAGTATTAAGCTAATGTAATTTTCTTTCATGTTGAGATTTGTTTCAAGTGAGAAAACATTTGCATTAAAATGTACAGTAGGAAGAATTTTTTTTAAAAATGACCTTAGCAAATGTGCATCCTTTCCCCTGGAGCAGCCTACCCTTCCTGTCAGTTTTTATCCTATTGTGGCTGGTACTGCATCTATGATGTGCTTTGGTGGTGTAGTGGACTATGAATTGAGCTACTACCCACAAGGTCTTCAGTTCAAACCCACCAATGACTGTAGGAGAAAGGTAAGGCTGTCTACTCCTGTAAAGAGTTACAGTCTCAGAAAGCCAAAGGAGCAGTTCTACTCTGTCCTGTAGGGTTGCCGTGACACGATGCCAGGGAGTGATGCTTTCGGGTAGAGTGGCCAGGATATTTGAGTAACAGGACAGAGACAGGAGTGAATGCAAAGTCTTTGGCTTGTCTAATTGTTTTTTACTGACTAAACCTTCCATAGAATTATGCCCACTTTTTAAAAAAGGGGGTTATTGTTTCTTGTTTGAGATAATTTTATTAGAAAGGCTGACAGCAATCAATAGATCATCTCCTAGAATTAAGATAATTTTTTAAATAGTTGCTAGCAATACCTTTTTCTCCCTAGACCTTTTCTGAAACTTATTTAAGCTAGAGAACTACATTTTTCATGACTCCATTAAAAGATAATGTTCTTTTTTGATTAAAATTTGTTGACTGCTTTCATTCTTACCCACTCAAGTTATTTTTATTTTTATTTATTTATTTTAATCGTTTTATTAGGGCTCATACAACTCTTATCACAATCCATACACACATCAATTGTGTAAAGTGCATTTGTACATTCATTGCCCTCATCATTCTCAAAACATTTCCTCTCCACTTAAACCCCCGCATTAGGTCCTCATTTTTCCTCTCCCTCCCCGCTCCCCCCTCCTCAAGTTATTATTATTTTTTTAACATTTTATTAGGGGCTCATACAACTGTTATCGCAATCCATACACACATCAATTGTGTAAAGCGCATTTGTACATCGTTTCTCAAAACATTTTCTCTCCATTTAAACTCCCGACATGGAACTGTGTGTGACCTCCTCCCTGGGGGACAGACAACCGAAAAGTGGATGAAGGGAGATGTCGGACAGGGCAAGATAGGACAAAATACCCATTTATAAACTATCAAGGGCTCATGAGGGAGGGGGGAGCGGGGAGGGAGGGGAAAAATGAGGACCTCAAGTTATTTTTAAAGGTTGATCTTCTGTTGATTTTGATTCCAACTGAATCTTGATCTGTCCCTGCCCCAGTCCAGTCTTGTATTTTGTTAACTTTTACTCACTTTTCTCCTTTTGGTTGGAATTTTAGCAAATGCTCCCAAACTCTCAGGCCTGTTGGGTGTAGATGTTTTCCAGAGCCACGTGAGGCTTACCTTACTCTGTTTGTGGGCCCAGGAGACGCCTGCAAGGCACACTCGGGAAACAGGTGCAAATGAAACTGATGCGTGGTGACAATGCCGCTCCTGTCAGACACATGTGTTTCTTGAGGGAAGTATGTACTGTGTGATCATTGTAAGCCACGCTACGAACGCTTGTAGAAATAGGTTTCATAGAAGGGGACTCCTCCATGAGCTTGAGCCTCCAGTCTGTTTCTGTCAACAGTAGGAGGAATATCCTCTGATTTCTAACCTTTCTAAATCTGTACCTACTCCTTTATCACTTACTTATTTGTTAGAACTTTGTGCTATCCAACAGTTTGCTTATTCTACTTAATGTATTTTTATATTACCTCACACACCTTGATCTACCTTATTTTTTTAATGGCTAACTGTATATATGATGATGTGAATATTCTACAATCTAGTCCACCTATTTCCTATTTATGGACACATAGAATGTTTTCAGTTTTCCATTACTTACAAGTTTAGATATAAGGGTACATCCTGATACATAATTTTTCTATATACTTCTGTAACATTTCTTATATGTTATTAACTCTGTTGTATTATGTGTTGCAAGTTTTGTTTTCCAGTTTGTCTTTTGATTTTGCTGCTTTGTACTAACCTCACATTAAGCGTAAAAGATAAATGAGGCTTCTGAGATTGGTCGCACTCTCCAAGCATAGACTCAGATTTTATAAGCAACTTCTATGTCTTGCTGTCCTAAAGTAAACCATTAAGCTAGTAGATGACTTTAGATTGTGACTGTCTCAAAATAAAACATAGACTTTATTTAAGAAGGTTGGCTACGGTGAGAACCATAAGATTGGGTCCCATGGCAGAGAAATTTCTGCTTATTTCACCATACCTGACCCACTCCCTCCCTACTGTTGAATCACAAACCCGTTCACCAGGGATAAAACTGTCCAGGTACGAGTGAGAATTCAACATATAGACCGATTTCATTTCAAATTTGTCAGCATTTTCAACAAAACTTTTGGTGGTAAATTGAGATGATGTTAAAATCTTAATTGATATTTTACTTTTATAAAGCAAGTCATCACTCCCCAATTTATCTAGTATATCAATATAACTTCAAATGTGATGTGCACTTTTAATTACATTAAATTTTTTAAATTAAAGTTGCAAATAAAATCTCAGCTACATAGTGTTTTATTTACTTGGGATAGCTAGAACTATTACATAGTCCTTAATACTTAGCCTTGACTCTGTTGATCTGGGGAGATTTGAGAAAAATTTAAGTACAATCTATTTAATCATATGAACCTAATATACACTTGTTATCTGCGTTACATTAAGGTGTAAAACTAACCCAATAAGCTTTTTTTCTTCCTGGCTTTGTAGTTAACTTCACCTCGCAGTGGTATCTTCTGAGTAAACCATCAGTCTGTGCTTAGTTAGCATGTGGGTGAGTGAAGAATAATGTCTTGTGTCTTTTGTACAAAAATCAACTGTTTTGCATGATTTTAACCATTTTGCTAAAATTCTTTTGCTTAATTAACATGCGATTACACGCTGGGCTAATAGAGAGTTATTTCCTGTGATAATTCTGATGCATAGATTCTGATTTTCTGTTAATTCTGATAGATAGCTTAACAATCACCAGTAGGATTCTTATAATTACAAGAAATTACAGTAGTTGAAAGTTTTACAGTAGCTCTTAAAAACCTTGTTAAAGCTCCAAAAAAAGTATTGTGTATTTTATGTTTCTTTCTTTTTTTTTTAACATTTTATTAAGGGCTCATACAACTGTTATCCCAATCCATACACACATCAATTGTGTAAAGCGCATTTGTACATCGTTTCTCAAAACATTTTCTCTCCACTTAAGCCCCCGACATTAGGTCCTCATTTTTCCCCTCCCTCCCCGCTCCCCCCTCCCTCATCAGCCCTTGATAGTTTATAAATGGGTATTTTTTTTATGTTTCTTTTGTTTTTGACTTCCCAAGAATGGTCTTTGAAGTTAATAATTTCCTAGATAAAAGAGATGTGATGAAAAAAAATAAAAAAATAAAAAATAAAAGAGATGTGATGCCTAATAGAGTCAAGGCTAGCCTGGAATAATGAAAACTACTAAGTACTTCAAAGTAGCAGCAATTTTTTTGTTTTTGTTTTTTGAACTTCCTGAGATGTTTTTTTATGTTTTATTTTCTTCCTGAGATGGTTTTAACATAAGAATCATACATTCATCCTGAGGAATCACTTAACTAGCCATCTTTCGTTGAATGTGGCTGCTTCTAACATGTTATTACGGCTACATGGAGGCAACCACACTGTCTACCTTTTAAACACTCCTTCTCATGCACCCCTCTCTTTCTCTTATCTCTTCTGTTCAAAATTTAGTCTCCTTAAGCCTATAGCAGTTCTCCTAATCAGCCCGACAAAGTACAGAACTATTAAATCGTACAGAAATGTCATTTCCTGCAACAGTTTAACCTGAGGTTTCAAAATAATAACTGGCAAAGGAATTTAAACTTGACACAAATCTATTTCTTATCTTCAAGTGTCTAGGCTCAATGTGCTGGTTGAATTTGTTTTACAAATACAAGCAGCCCCTGCGTCCTGGACCTCCAGCTTACAGACTATTTCTGCTTGTCCGTTAATGTTCTGTAAATTTGCCCTTACTTTGAAATGATTGAATCAACCCCTGTTCCCAGCAAATTCTTCATCACAAGCACCTTCCCTTGCCGCACATGCAGCCCTTCAATCATTGAAAAGACTTGGAACCTCTTCTCAAACCTCCAGAAAGCTAAATAAGACCCAGTTTACATCTGTTCTGACTCACTGCTTAAAGCTCACAGACAAACTTAGGAACTGGTCTAGTTTATAATCTAGGGATGCCTGCACATCGTGAGTGACTGACTGTAGTGTTCATTTACAAATGGAGAAGGCTTTAAATTTCTGTCGCTTTCCACTTAATATGTATGAACAATTTGTTTCTGTTACTTAATCTTACTTGGTAATTTTAAAAACAGAAATTTGAAACTTCATACTTGAGCCGATTGACTACAGGGTTTTATAATTTTAATACAAGAAACCCTCTTAAGAAGGTTTGGACTGTTTCTCATAGCATTTATGTTCATTAAATTCTGGTGAGGTTTAGCTGCCAGGCCCCTCATTCTGGGAGAATTGCAGTCAGTAGAAAAACTCCATTAGACAACTCCTTCTCCTCAGTCAGTCAAGTGTGTAGAACTGCATCATGAAGAGATTTTGTCACGTTAGCACGATTGCTTCTGAGTTTCTTACTGAGAACTTGGCAGCATTCAATGCCATGACAGGCTACCGTTCCAAATTTCCTGTACAATTCCTGGTTCCAGAACGGCTGACTGTAGGTCAGTTCGAATCCTTCTAAGAACATTTGTTTGCTAAGGTTCTTTTAAGATTCAATATTTAGTATGTTTCTTCTTTGCTGTAATCCATAGTCACAAAATTTAAGTGTCTTTTCATTTGAAAATTAAATCTCCCAAAATACTGACTGTGGAAAAAACGTTTTTTCTTTAATTCTCTTTTCCCTTTTCTGTTTCAGTCATGGCTCCGATCCTCACCTTAAAGAGACAGCGAGTGCTGTTGGTGGACAAAGGCCTGCTGCTTGGAGCACTGTCCACAGCTGTCATTCGTTGAGAAGGAAGCTGTTGCTCAGGGCTTCGCGTAGCCAAAAGCCTCAGATAAGGCTGACGTTGGCCCACAGATCGATTGCAGACTTCCTTTAGAATAGATTTTTATCAGTAGAGAAACGGTGACAGGATTTTTCTTTTTACTTTAGTTTTCTGTTGGGAAGAGTTTTATGTTGTTTAAAAGATATTTTTAATAACTTGATTTATGAGCTCACCTAATATTCCTTCTATTCTTTTTGTCCTTTTTAGAGAACTGCTTGCTTTCCTATTTATTTTTAAGATGATTTTTAAAAAAGACTTGTGCAATACATTTCGAGGTAAAACTTAGTGGCTTTTTTCCTGACAAATTAGAGCATTTAATTGACTATTTTATCCAGATGGATTTGTTGAATATTGGCAGAAGACTTGCTGTGTAAGCTATGATGTGATAAATTAAATGGCAGTACCTCATTGTTTACTTAGCTTTTGTACTTATACTTTTCAAAAGGAAAATTCTACTGTAAATTGTAAATAGTCACTACATAATTGTTTGATGCAGATCCGTGACACTGACAGTCACCTGCGAGGACAGAGAAATAAAGTCTATTTACTGTACAGCCTTCGCCTGATGTGTTTCTCCCCAAGTTGAGTTTATTTCAAGTCGCCTAGAGTCTGTGTTCTGTCTACATAAAGGTAGCGATGTTCTGTTTGTCAGGATACTCAAATGCTGAACATTGGGAAGGATTTTTGTTTTGTTTGAAATTTCAAAATCAGCATGAACAAATGAGAAGTAAATGGAAGTAAATTCTTTGTGGTTTCTGTTTGAGCACACTGCCATCCGGGGGCTGCCTTCTCTCTTGGAGCAGACGGTACTTGGAATGTGTTTAAGCTCAGTGACGTGGGAACTGGTCGGGGTTCCACACCCCTTTTATTGTCCAGGAAAACATCCAGGTGTTACCTAACCTACCTCACGGTGCAAGCTCAGTGTCCTGGACAGTCTGGACTGGAGGGCTTCGCGTGTGTCTTGCATTATGATTGGTAGACGAGACTTCTGGGGAGCAGATGACCGAGGGGGTTTCTCATAGCCCATAGCTAACTCCTTTGGAAAGCAAGGGAACGAGGATCTTAGGGGAAAAAAAATTCCAAGTTTACTTCAGTTTCCGAACTCATCCCCCTGAAAGGTTTCCGACAGTGGCTATGGTTTCTTGCTCATTTCTTCTCCTGCAGCCCCATTGGTTACCCAGATGAGATGGACTTCCCCCTTGTGAATGGCGAGTGTCCGTGTGCTCGGTCTCTTCCATTGCTAGTGAGCGCTTTGAGTGTGTAGGACAGATGGCTTTGTCTTTTTCACCCACAAATCTCCAACCGAAGTTTGAATCAAGATGCTCTCACGGTGCTGGAGATTTGGGCATGTTTTAGGGAGGACAATATTTGTGTTTTGTGAACAAGCAAGAAGGTAATTAAATATTATGATCCAATGAGCACACTGTAGTCGATTGACTTCTTGGTTCCTATTCTTCGCTCCCTCCCTGCGTTTGGATTATGCCTCCAGGTGACGTGGCAGTCCTGCGTCCACGAGGGGGCAGTCTTTCCCCACTCACCTGACATTGGCTGTTGGCTGTGTGACTTAGTTTTGGATTCGCATTGCAAATGCAAATGTGAGCTCCTAGAGAGCTGGTACCCCCAAACACTGAGGTGGCAAAACCATTCTGGAAGAGACTTCACTAGAGGTGCAGAGCATTGTGGGAATGAGGAGCAGCACCTAACGAAACCTGGAGAGAAGGTCACCAGATCTGAGTCCCACAGGAGAAGTAGGAGGGAGCCTATGAGGCCCCGGAGCAGCCCAGGCAGAAGACAGCAGAGGCACAGAAGCGAGGAAGAGTCAGGCTTGTCTGAACCCACAGCGAGGGGTTTGATCGCCATGGTAGGTGGAAGGCAGGTGTGGGAGATGGGACTAGAGGTTAAGGATGACAGGCTCCTTGCCTTAGGTTCCTGTGTGGTACAAATGGTTTGTACTTGACTGCTGTCCTAAAGGCCGGCTATTCAACCCCACCCAGTGCCGGAAGGAAAGATTGCCAATCTGCTTCCATCAGGGTTACAGTACAAACCCCACGGAGCAGTTCTCCCCTGGGACACTTGGGATTGCCACGAGGCAGAATCAACTTGAAGGAAATGAGCAACAGTCTTCCTTGCTATTTTCTTTGATTTCCTTCTAAGAATAACCAGAGACAATTGTAAGATAGCCCTAGATGTTTTCTGCGCAAAGCCACCTATCTCTGGCCCTGACAGGTCCACGCCAGCCTTACAACAGTAGCATTGGCCCGTGTGCAGTATGAAAAGTGAAGTGCCCATGTGGTGTCCCGTGGCTCAGGTCCAGTGGGACGGGTGGAAGTAAGCCGGCCCTCAGAGGGAGAGGGGCCTCGTCGGAAGTTTCCGTTGTGTACAGGACCTCTGGAAGCACCCCAGGGCTTGCTCCCAGATGGGTGAGATTGCAGCCAACTGACCTTTGTCCCGGACGCCTGCTGCCTAAACCTCTTCACAGGCCAGGATTCCGACCAGAGTCCCGGCCCGTGGCCTACTGCTCAGCCATCTGCAGGAGACGTGTGTGGATCCCAATCATGAAGTGGGCTGTCTGGATGACTGTAACCGAGGCAGCTGAATGACCATATGATGGAAAGCAGGGCTGAGGAACTCCCTGTCCACCAAAGGCCACCTGGATATGTGCGTCGTCATTCTCAGGTCGGACACAATTCTCCACTTAAACATTAGCCTGCTGTGTTTGTTCAGACATTGCATTACCTCACCCTGAATGACATAGAACGGCTTCTCTCTGGTGAAGTGTGTGAAGTTAACTGGGCCGTATATTCCTCACCCCTCAGCTAGATGGAAGGGGTCTTATCTGTGCCTTTCATGACTGCCTGTACACCCCATGGCCCCTCTGCCCACTTTGGATTGTGGAATGATTGCTGAGCAGTAGGAACCGACCAAGCCTCAACTGTACCCCCTGGCTTCTCCAGCATCTCACAGGAGGTACCTGAGGACCTGCCCCTGGGCTCTTCCTCAGGCAGGATGGTTGTAGGCAGATCCCTGCAGCGGAGAATTGGCTGGCATGTAATAGGAGTGCAGGAGCCCTGGTGGCATGGTGATTACATGTTGGGTTGCTAACCGCAAGGTCAGCAGTGAAACCACCAGCCACACCAAGCAAGGCTTTCTAGTTCCATACAGAAGGATAGTCCAGCAAACCCACAGAGGCACTTCTACCCTGCCCCATACGGTCAGTGTGTCCGATGCAACTGGGTGGCCTTGACCTTGGTTTTTAGTTGTGGGTTTTATTGGGTGTGAAGGCCAGGGATGGAGCAGTTCATCGCTTCCCCTAAAATGCCTAATAGGGATTCAGCCACTCTGCTGTATCTTTGCCAGACATAACTAATCAAGCTTGTATCAGTATCTATGGCCATAATAGCACTGTGTACCCACCCACCCAAAACTCGTGTCTTCAAGCAAGCATTGATTTCACTTGAGAGAGAGACTGTCCGTGGTGTCCACTGGACAACTGTAGTCTGCCACATTTGCTCACACCTTCTGAGGGGCGCAACCACTCGAACTGAGGGGCAAGAGCAGAAATGGAGACCTACAAGCACCTTTGGGAACTTCTGTGTCACACATAGCCACTCTCAGAATGAAACCCACCTTGCTGCTAAGTACCATCGACCCGGTTCCGACTCCTGGTGACCGCACGGACAACAGGCTGGAACACCGCCTGGCCCTGCACCGGCCTCACAATTGTTGGATGTCAGCCCGTTGTTGAAGCCACGGGGCTTTGTAAATGGAGCCCTGGTGGTGTACTGGGGGATGTGTGGAGCTGCTAAGCATAATATCTGCGGTTGGAATCTGCCAGTTACTCTGAGGGCAGAAGAGGAGGCTTCTTGCTCTCATAAAGATTGACAGTCCCGGACACCCAATGGCAGTTCTCAGACCTATCGAGCCACCCTAAGTCAGAAAATGCTTTGTGAATCTTTATAGAAGTGGGCAGCTGCAAGAAACTGGTGGGTTTGAACCACTGACCTTGTGGTTAGCCATTCAGTGCTTACCCAGCATCACTGCCCAGGTTCCCTAAAATCAGAATCAAGGGCTGAGGAAATAACTACCACTTAGTGGAAGGAGCCCCAAAGTCACATTGTTGAGAGTGTGAACCCAGTGAGAGGTGCAAATTTGGGGCACCTAAATCTGGATGCAATCGAGTTACCAAAACTTCTCAACTCCATAGTTATTCCAATCGGAAGTTACCCAGGACATAAAACCCATTGACCATTCCCAGAGATGAATACATGCTTTTCTTTTTTTTTTCTAACGTCATTTTACTGCGGGTTCTCAGAGCTCTTACAACAATCCATACATCAGTAGATAAATACATGATTCTCAGACTACATCCCATGGAGCTCGGGGGTTCCCAGAGGGTGTATAAGGGAACTCTGGAGGCGCAGGGAGGAATTGGGTGGACGAGGGCACAAAGGCAGGGCTCTCTCTTCACTTAACGCTTGTTTCATGCGTCAGGGTTCTACATGGGGTTTTGCTAGACGATCGATTTTGCTATCCAAAACAGCAGATGAAAGTTAAGACGCTTTCTCTCCTTGGATGTTTCCAGATCAATGGGGAGAGGAGGGTTCAGCGTCTACTCCTGGCGTCCCTGCATCCCTGCTAGCTTCGCTGTGCTCCCTTCAGGCTGCAGCTTCAGCCTTCCTCAGTGGCCACGACCAGAAAGAACTCCAGCAGAGTGCTGACTTTATGATTCCTACGAGTGTCACCCATGTGTGAGAAATTTCTTTTACAGACGACTTCCAGGGAAAATGCGAGTATGGTTTTATCCACTTGGAAATGAAAACTACAAGGGCGAGTCAAAAGAACTGCTACTAGGGTTCTGGTTCATAGAGGCTCGGGTTTACTCAGAATACAGCACGTTGAAGCATGTCTCTGTGATCAGCAGGCAGCTTCTCAGACAGTTCTCTCCGCCAGTCATTCTTTAGTCTTGGACTTGTTAGGGTGCCTTCCAAAAAACAGAAGCATGCTTTTTGTGCCATGGGAAAAACACAGTTTTTGAGGTCAGATCTAATAGCTAATTTTTTGCAAAACTGAAGTGGCCATCTTCTAAAGCCATGGAAGCTTAGCAATAGCTGTTCGGGAATCCTGCCCTCTTAACATGACAGTTTTTAGAAGAACCAAGGTTGGGAAGGCCTCAGATGAATTGAAGACAGAAAGCTCAGAAAGTTAGTGACTTTTGGGGATTGCAAAGGAGGGCTTTGTGTTAGTCCGGGTTGACTGGAGAAACAAATCCAGGGACATTCATGTATGTATAAGAAAGAGCTTTATATCGAAGAGTAATTGTATATTAAGAAAACATCCCAGTCCAGATCAAGTTCATAAGTCCGATATTAGCCCATATGTCCAATACCAGTCTATAAATTCCTTTTCAGACCCTTGCAACGCACGCAATGATGCCAAATGCAGGAAGATCACAGGCCAGTGGGTGGAAAGTCCTGTGGATCCCATGGTGGTGGAAGCATCTCCGCGCTGGCGCAGGTCTTCATTTGACTCCTCCAGCTCCAAGGCTCTGACTT